AGAACTTAGACAACTAAATACCCCGAGCCCAAATAATTCAATTCAGAAATAGGCAAAGAATGTAAACAAAGTGAGACAGGAGTCATCACAATATCAGACATTAAATTAACACAGCTATAGTTATGAAAACAGCATGGTTTTGGCACCGAAACAGACATGAAGACCAATGGAACAGAATAGAAGATACAGAGACACACCCACACAAATACAGTTATCTCATCCCAGACAAAGGCACCATAAATGTACACTGGAAAAAAGATAGCCTCTTCAACAAATGGTGCTGGGAAAACTGGAAATTCATAGGTAATAGAATGAAATTGAACACCTATATCTCACCCTGCACAAAACTCAACTCTAAGTGGATCAAGGACCTAGGCAGTAGACCAGAGATCCCGCACCTACTAGAAGAAAAAGCAGGTTCAACTCTCCAATATGTCAGCTTGGGAATCAAATTCCTCAACAAGACTCCTAAAGCACAAGAAATAAAATCAAGAATTAATAAATGGGATGTTTTCAAACAGAAAAGCTTCTTCACAGGAAAGTAAATAATTAAGAATGTTTATAGAGATCCTATAGATTGGGAGAAAACCTTCACCACCAGTATTTCAGATAAGGCATTGATTTCCAGAAAATACGAATAACTCAAAAAACTTAAACCCAGAAAAATAAATAACTATATCAATAAATAGGCAAATGAACTGAACAAACACTTCATAGAAGAAATACAAACTGGCAAAAATATATGAAAAATGTTCAAATTTGACCCAGTTATCTCATTCCTTGATCTATACCCAAAGGACTTAAACAGAACACTACAGTGACACAGTCATATCCGTGTTTATGGCAGCTCAACTCACAATAGTCAAGCTATGGAAATGACCCAGGTGTCCTTCAATGGATGAATGGATAAAGAAAATGTGGTGTATATACAAAGTGGAATATACCCAGCTATATATAAGAATGAAATCATGACGTTTGTTGGTAAATGGATGGAAATGGAGAATATAATGCTAAGAGAGATAAGCCAACCCCCCCCCCAAACCAAAGGTCAAATGTTCTTTCTTATTTGTAGAGGGTAACCCAAAACAAGGGAGGATGGGGAGAGGAATAATAGAAGCCCACTGGATTACACAAAGAGAAATGAAGAGGAGGGGCGGGGAGGGGAATAGGAAAGACAGAATTAACTGGTCATACCTTTCTTTCCTAGTGTGGTATTTGTGTACATGAGCAGGATGACTCCACATCATGTATGACTACAAGAGTGGGAACCTAAATAGAATAAGTTATACTCAACGTGTGCATATTTTGCCAAAATACATTCTACTGTCATGTATAACTAAAGATAAATAAATGAATCATTAAAAAATAATCTAAACAGATACTTGTCCAAAGATGACATATAAATGGCTAATAGGTATATGGAAATGTGATCAGTGTCATTAATCATCTTGGAATGTCCAATCCAAACCAAAATGAGATCTCGCCACGCACCTGTGATGATACCTATCATGAAAAATCAAAATGTAACAAGTGCTGGTGAAGATGTTGAGAAAAGAGAATGCTTGTGAACTATTTGTAGGAATGCAAATTGGTACAGTTATTATGGAAAACTTATGCAGGTTCCTAAAAAATTTACAAGTAGAATAACTATATGATCCAGCAATCACAAATTGAAATCAGGATCTTAAAGAGAGGTCTGTATTTCCAAGTTCACTGTTGTGTTATTCAAAGTAAGCCAGAGGTAAACACCGAAGTCTCTGTAAATGGATAAATGAATAATGAAATTGTGAGATGCATGCTTCTGTGTGTGTGTGTGTGTGTATGTGTGTGTGTGTGAGTGTGTGCGTGTGTGCTTGTGTAATTCAGCTTTAATAAAGGAAATCCTGCCATTCGTGGCAATGTGGATGGACTTAGGTCTATCCATGTTATATTATTGTGTTAACTGAAATAAGCTGAACTCAGAAAGACAAGTACTGTGTGATCTCATTTATATAAGGAATCTAAATAGTCCAACTCAGAACCAGTGAGTAGAACTGATGTTGCTAGGAGCTGGAAGGAGAGGAAGAGGGAAGGTGTCGGTTAAAGGGGAGTTTCAGCTATGAAGATGAACAGGTTCTGGAGATCCACCTTACACCACAGTGTCAGTAGCCATCAATGCTGTATTGCACACTTATAATTAGCCAAGAGGATAGATCTTATGTTAACTGTTCTCACTACAAAAATAAATTGATAGATAAAATAATTACAATAATAAAGGGTATGCAAGACACTTTGAGAGGTGATGGATATGTTTATGGCCTTTTCATGATGATGGCTTCATGAATTCTTATCCTCAAACTCATATATATCCATTTTTTTATAGGTCAGTTACTTCAAAAAATGATTGAAAAACTATCCTTATTGGTAAGGAGATTTCTTGTCTTCATTCTCAAATACTGGGTGTGAGGTTTTTTCGGGAACTCGGAGCTGTGAAATGTAGAAGGCATTTATTTCAGCACTCTCTGCCTTCCGTCAGCTTTCGGGCAGCCTTGTCTTCGACCTACCTTTCATTCTTTTAGCAGCATCAAAAGGTAGTTTGCTGCACACTTTAGAACCTCTTCTCAAGAAACAGGATGGGCAGAGTTCCTCTCAGCTCCTTCAGATTCTCCCGCTAGACTCTCCTAGCCCTTTCCCCAGCACCTTCTTTCTCCGTTCATGGTCCTCTGCTTCTCAAGGATCACCCATGTTGGTCACAGAGGCAAAGAATAGGACCATTTCTTCAGAGAGTAGTTCTAAGGACTTACAAGGGCCCTTGCGGGGAGCATCTGTATTTAAAGGAAGAAACCAGGGGAAGATGCACTCAAAGCTGTGAAGAAGTCAGGATTTCGTGCACAAATTTGGAAACACGGGGACGAGGGCCTTTACCAATATCAGAACCTCCTCTGCTTGATGATTGTTTCCTACGCTCTTGCTGGGCGCAGGGATAAGTGAGAAGGCTTCTGTGGGGCCTGAGCATCCGACAGCAGACCTAGATGAAAGAGCGAGGAGGCCCTCAGCCACAGAACACTTGGAAGAGGACGGGAACATGTGGTCCACTTGTGATCTGTGTTTACTCGTCTGTCTGGTGTGTTCTGAGAGGAGGATGCAGGCCAGCCAGGGGTCAGCGAGTCAAAACCCTTTGAAGACAGACCCGGCTTCTGAAATGGATCTGGAGTTCCCTTGCTGGCTCTGTGTCCCACAGTAGTCCACACACTTCCTGGCCCATCACTTTTGCATGTGTATCATCTACGGATTTCATTGGTAGAGCTTTAAGTGTGCAAAACCGCAACATTCTCTGTTTTTTTTTTTTTTTGGAACTAAACAATAACTCTCTTGAACTCCATTTTCCCTAACAGGAACTTGAATCTCGTCACTTCTAGGAAGTTTTCAGTTTAGCCCAATCCATCAGTGTCTTCCCTCACTTTGCATCAGCCCCGAGTGGCATCCAAATGATGCTGGGGTTAGTAGGCACATTGAGGGGCATTACCACCTCTGTCTAGCCACACCCTTCTTCTCTCCTGGGGGTTCCCAGGATCCATCAAGGCTCAGGTTTGTCCTGCCTAGGCCGTCATTGCGATGGCAGCCCCTTCTCTTGACTTTTCTGATCCAAGTCCACCCCCCCCCCAATAGGACCTAAGATATGTCTGGGTGCTTATCCACATTCCTAAATCTTCCCGTCTGCCTTCCCAGTTCATGCATGGGGGCAGGGCACATTGGAGAGGCTCTGAACTCTTGGCTTGCTGGACAGGAGTGGACACCCCGCCCAGAATCGAAGGGCAGTTCAAATCACCTTCCTTCAGGGCAGAACTGACACAAGAAAGGAAGGCAGGGCAAGAGGGTCTCCTCCCTAAAACCCACGCAGGGACTACTGAATCTTGACCCCCTTTCCATTTCGGTTCCTTTCTTCTTTCAAGAGACTAAATTTGTGTAGTTTTTGGAAGAAAATCTGCCTTCTTCTTAATGTTACTATTTATGGTAGGAGATTTGTGTTCTTATTCCTTCTGAAATGTTGAGAACTCAAAACTCCTTTTCTCTATCACAAAGTTTGGCTCTACAGCGAAACTCTTGCCTTTCAAGACAATGCTCTGGTTTGAATTTCTAGAGCATACTTAAAAAATACAAAGTCAAAATTTGATTCCTCTATTCTCTGCATTTTCTCCTTTCCAAATCAGAAAGAATTAAAAAATTAGATTTTTTTTTTCAGGTAAGATGCCATTTAGAAACATGGACTTAGTAATAATATATTGATTACTATTTTAAAAAAAATCATCCTGTTTCACTAGAATTTTCACAATCTGCTTTGACCATTTCAGAAATGGTGAGATTCTCATGAGTATCAGGGGAAGAAAGGTAGACACCATTAAGAATAACAAGGAGACAAAAAAGGGTGGATATTCTAAAAAAAGGAAAGTGAATGGAATAGAATGTCTGTTGAATTTTTTTTTTAAATCTTTACACTATGAACCTTTGTAAAAGCCATCATAAAAATATCAGAGGTAAGGTAGAAAAGAAATTCCTGTTAGTCTTAACTGTACCAGTTAATAGCCACATGATACTGAACAAGACAACCTTACTGGTCTCCTTGTCCATGAAATGAGTGTGGTAATACTTCCTTGCTTTGTGTAGTTCAGAGGCATGTCTGCATAGAAGAAATTCAAGGACACACACACACACACACACACACACACACACACAATTTGTATTACTGGGGATTAAACCAGGTCTTTCTGTGTGCTTGGCAGACACCTTACCACTGACTACTCCTCAGACCCCTAGAGATATTATTTTAATAAGCTTTGTTCTCTACAGAATAGATATAATTACTTAATGATAGTATGAGACATAATGATCAAGGTCTCACTTTCCGTTTTAAAAGACAGTAGCTGATATTTGCAAACTTAATAGATTTTTCTTTTCCCAGGATGAATCTGTGAGTGACTGTTACAACATTCTGATTCCATTGTACTTGTTTCCAAATCCAGCATAGGACCATGGTCTACGCCTAGGCTTTTGGGTGGTGTGCAGTCACTGGACACTGCTGAAGTGTGTTTGGTAAGTTGCTAAGTGGGAGGCACCTGTCAGTGGATTATGGGGAATTAAAAAGGAGATATCAATATAGTTCCTGCCCTTAAGAGATTCCAGGTCCTATTGAAAGGCTTCTATTATTCTCTCATTTACTCATTCAACAATTTTTATCAAGCCTTCTCAGTGTTAGGTGCTGAGATTACAGCAGGGAACAAACTTTAAAAAATTAAATTGATATTTTAGTGAGATCTGGCCAAATTGTATAAAATCAGAGTAAGCTTTTAAAATGTAATTCAAAATTAATTCATGATATGCATAGGATTGATGCTTTTGGAGAATAAATGGGGGGAAAGGATGATGGTGGGAGGGTTGGTTATAGAATGTGGCCTTCCAGGAGCTGCATTCTAAGCTGGGTGAGAAGCCTGAGAGAAATCCTTCAAATGGAAGGAAGAAAGACAAGGAAAATATTCAAGAGTGAGCATGGTCTTGCTTGACTTGTAGCAGGTGTATTCTGAAGAGGATTGGGGGGTTCAACTGGAGAACCGTGGAAGATGATGACAACCATAAGAAATTTAGTTTTAATGGGGTTGGGAGTAAAGGACCATGAACAGTTTTGGGTGGAGTGGTGGTTGGGTGTTGGGGATACAAAGATATGTGATGGGTTGAATCCTGTCTTTATAGAATATGGATTTTCTGTAGGCCACAGGAAGAACTACACACAGGTTTCCATTTTCAAACACTACATATCCTGAAGAAGATTGTAAGTTACCTAAACAACTGATTATTTTTATAATGGTAATAAGCCTGGATAGAAAAAAATTCACTCTGAGGTCCAGATTACTTATTTAATTAAGAAAAAAAAATTCTTTTTCTTTTTTCCCTTCAACTAGGAATTGAACCCAGGGTTGCTTAACCACTGAGTCACATCCCCACCCTTTTTTATTTTTTAATTTAAGACAGGGTCTTGCTAAGTTGCTCAGGGCCTTGCTACATTGCTAAGACTGGCTTTGAATTTGTGATCCTCCTGCCCCAGATTCCCAAGCTCCTGAGATTATAGGCGTGCACCACCAAGCCCAGATAATTAAGCAAATCTTATTGTATCTTCACTAAGTCATACAAGTGTGTGTAGCTCCATGTCATTTACCAAGGGGCAGTAGATGTGGATTTAATGGAAAGGTTTATGATTTTTGTTTGGGGTTACCAATTCAATGTTTCCACTGAATATCAGAGACTAACAATAGTAGTTTTGACTTCTTAGGAACCATCTCACCACACACTGAGAAAAAAAGGGCTTGTGGTATCAATTTAGAAAAACTTTTCTCTCTTTTTTTGATCCAGTGGCCAAGGGCAAATTGATGACCAGGCAGTATTTTCCAGAGACACTTAAGAACTTATCAGTTAAAAAAAACTAATCAACCCTCTATTGAACAGTCAGACCACAGCAGCCATGTGTTTTATAAGCCTTTGCTTTATTTTACAGAGGAGGTTTCCTCATGCCACTGAGTCTAGGGCTTGGTTAGGGATAATGTGGTTCAGGTTTTCCCATAATTGTATGGAAATTCCCTGGGTAAAATGTATGGGTCTGGGAAAGATCAAATGTGACAATGCTCAATAGCTTCTGATTTTCCAATCCTTCAGAATTGCCCGGCGGTCTTTCCCTGCGTATCTCCTCATCAAGCCCTGAGTTCATAAAGTCCTTGGTAGATGAGACAATGCTTCTGACCATGGGCTGTCACTGAAACCTAAAAGGAATAGAATGTGTGTTTGGTCAGTGGACTTGGCAAAAGGAGCAGGCTCCTGGGGCATCTGGACATTGTTCACACTGAGTCCTTTTATTTGTTCATTTAGAAATGAACAATCAGGAAAGCTTCTGCATTTGGGAGATGTTTGCAAAACGAATTCTTTCAGGTTGCATTTGGCTACAGTCCCATGTGAAGCAGTTGTACTTTGTACTCAACAGATTTCGGATAAACCAGGAAAGCTTGGCTTCTCAAATTGTTTGATCTTTCTTGCTTTGCCCAGTTTTGCAGATTCTGACATCTGGAATGTAAATTAGAACTACACATTTAATATTTCTGTTTAATGTCCATTATCAGGCTCCCCTGAAGATTGTTATTCAGAATTGACTGCCAAGGGCCTGCTGTTCTAATTGACAGAGCTCTCACCCAGATTTGGGGTTATTTCTCTTTGTCTCTCCCCAGGCAGACCAGGAAAAAAAAGGTAGTTCCCTTTCTGAATTTTCATTGAAGACAGTAAGTCATCAGAGATGTGTAAGCTGATATTTGTGCTAGGCATTCACAAGTATTCATTTAATGAGCCATTCTAGAGTCTTTTAGAACATTGCTGTGTAGAAAGTTCTCAAGTGAAGAATTAGCATGGAAAATCACCCTGCTAAACTCCCCAGACACACCAGGTGACATGTCATGCTTCATTCAGTTCTGTAAAATTTAGTCAATGAATACTACGTGTAATGGCTTTACAGACTACTGGGAATTCGATGAAAAATAAGGGATTACTTCTACTCCTGTGAACTGTGTTAGTTTGTTCGGGCTGCCATAACCAAGATTCCCAGGCTTGGCAGCTTGAACAATAGAAATTCCTTTTCCTCGAGTTCTAGAGGCTGGAAGTCCAAGATCAAGACGTTGACAGGGTATATCTCTTCCAAGGCTTTGTTCTTAGGTGTACAGGAAGCCACCTCTTGCTTTATGTTCACATGGGCTTTCTTCCACATGCATACATCCCCTGATGTCTCTGTAACCTAATCTTTTCCTCATCATGGGATTGGTGCCCATTCCAATGACTTGGTTTTCACCACAATTACCTCTTTGAAGCGCCTGTCTTACCAGTCATGTTCTGAGGTTCTAGGGATGAGGGCTTCAATATCTGAATTTGGGGGAGCCTCTACCTGTACTTTCTAGTGGTGGAAGAGAAGCCACACAAGCGATGGCTTCAAACAGTACATCAGCCAACGCAGAGGCAGAGTTCCATAGGGGTGGGGAGGAGAGGGCGTGTCCATGTGGCGGAAGACCTTGATGGATGGAACGGTTTTGAGGTTCACATTGAAGAACAGGTTTTAAGGAACAGGCAACTGAATTATGTAAAACTGTGATGCTTTCGATAAAGTACCAGCAGATTTTATACAGCACAGTGTATTTCTTTCCATACTCACCCCAAAGGGCAAGGTCTGCCAAGGTTTTTCTAAAAAGGGTCGGATAGTAAATATTATAGCTCCTGGAGCTCCATGGGCTCTTACTACTACTCATTCCTGATGTGGAAACCTCTGTGTAATGTGTGTAAGCAAGTGAGTGTGGCTAGGTACCAATAGAATTTCATTTACAAAACTAGGCAGTAGAACGAACTGGTTAATAGAAGAGTCAGAAGAAGAACCAGGTCCTGTGACTCCCACGGATGAATGCCCTTTCCTCTCCACCATGTTAATTCTACCTCGTGAGAACGACTAAGTTTCTACATAAATGTTTGAGCTTTTTTAAGATTTCAAAACCAATTAGGAAAATAAAAACTCAAACTGCAATAGAGAGAAAGAGAGAGAGAGAGGGGGGTGGGGAGGGGAGGGATTGAGAAACAGCAGGCAGACGTTGGCCCCTTGGCCGTGATTTGCTCACCCTTGTGTAGGGGAACTTTAAACCCCCTCACTCTGCTTTCATGGAGTTCCTCTTCTGCGACATGATGCCTGTCTTTCCAAAGTGGAGCCTTCAAACATGCAGAGAACAGAAAATACCTTGGCTCCAGCTCAATGTTGTCATGTGGTAACAGACCACAAACCTAAGCCACTTCCGCCCTGTTGTTTAACTCCTGGCACATGTGTGTTTTGTTTCTCTTTTATTGGCTCTTTAGTGGAACTGCAAAAAGACTTGCGGCTTCCTTTCATCCAGCGAGGGAAAACGAGCAACTATCTCTCCTTTCACAACCTAGAGCACTTCTTGGTATTCGTATCCCAAAAAGGGTCCTTGCACAGTGCAGGATCTTTCCAGATGCCTGAGAATTTCCAGTAAATACAAACACTCCACTGTGGACAGAAGACACGCTGAATTCTGGACAGAATGGCTCATATCTTTCTAGAAGAAGGAGAGGAACAATGACGTAGCCCCCGCGAAGACTCCTGGCTCCTTGGAGTCAAGACTAGGGGCTCCTCCCCTCTAGCCCTTTGTGAGTAGAGGGGTGCTCTGGCCTTCCGAGGCCTGCAGGTGAGCGGTGGCCAAGCCAGGCAGGAGTGCTCTTCTTCAGGAGCTTTTACTCCAAAGGGAGACGACAGAGAACAGGCAAGCCAGAAAGTTTATAAATTAGATAATTCCAAATGCCAACTATCATTTATAAAGAAAATAAAGCAGAGTCATGGGAGGCAGATTGGGGTGGCTATGGGAGAAAGAGAGAAGTGACTTTGAACAGGGAAGGGATGGCTGAGGGATGAGCAGAGCTGGAGAATGCCAAGGGCCAGGCACCGAACTGGGGACAGCCTTGGTGAGGTCACAGGCCGGCCGGCCATCGTTCAGGTGGTGTGACTAGTAGACCCTGCAGATCATATTGGCCTGCTCTCCACATGCTCCATAATTTCACCAACTCTCTAAAGTGTGATAGGGTCTCATACTGAATTTTAGGTGTGTTCCAACCAAGACAGATGGCCATTGTTATTTCACTTGTCCCAGGCTCTCAACTCAGGTCTTTTCTTTTTAATTAGAGCTTTTTAGTTTCTAACATAGTCATCGGGTTCCTCCCAACAAACTCAGAAATACCTGGAAATCGATTTCAGTTTGAAAATTTTCCCTCCCATAACCCCTCCCCTTCCCCACTCTCCTTCCTCTACTTTACTCGACTTCCTTTTAATAAGTCTATTAATTTATATTTGATTGATTCTCACGTTTTCCTCTTTTCAAACTGCACTAGTGGAATTGTGACCCTTGAGTCATTAGGAGGAGTTCTGAAAAACAACTTGGAAATACCTCATATCCTCCTCTCCAACATTTTTTTGTTCTTTTTTGGTACTGGGGATTGAACCCAAGAGCACTTAA